TGGCGCCGGCAAGGGCGGGGCTCCTTCGCGGCTCCTGTTCTGCTGGGCGGAGGGCATCTTCTGCAGGAAGGCTCGGGAGGGGGGGCGCTCTTCCCCAGGAGCCCCCCTTCTTCTCCCCCCCGCACTCTCGGGATCTTTTGCTGTGCAAAAAGAAACTGGACCTTGTGGATCTTCACTGGCACCTCCCGAGTCGCTGCTCCCTGTCGTTGGGGGCCCCCGGATTTTGGCTGTCTTGGTTTGTTTCGCACACAATAAAAGAAGACTAGAAGAGAGGCCCTGCTGTGCTTCCAGGGCAGCCGGGGCAGGGAGGGTCCTGGTCCTTGCGCCCCTCCCTCAGCAGGCGGGGGGGAGCCCCCTCCTCCAGTTTTCAGCCCAGCTGGGCATCTGGCAGTCCCACTGGGGCCCTGGATTGGGAAGTGGCTGGCACTGCCTGTTGGAGTCCCCCCTTATCTTCGGGGGTGGGGGGCCTGCATTGGACACCCTCCCCAGTCTGCAGCTGCCTGGTTCCTGCAGCTTTTCTGAGGTAAAGAATAAGAAGGCAGGGAGTTTCCACCTCCAGCAGGATTGGATCCTGCAACCTTTTCGGGACAAGGAGGCAGCTGGTCACGGTGCCCCCCCCCCGTTTGCACCTTCATTTGATGGGGCAGCCTGCAGACTGCCTGCACCCAGCCCCAACGGCTCTGAGGGGCAGCTGGTCTCTCTCCCCACTGGGGAAAGGCGCGGAGCCCTTCCTCAACTCTCCTTGCCATAGGAGGGGCTGCTGGAGCTCCCCCTGCTCCAGCACCTCAGACACTCACCCTTCCTGGCACCTCACCCTTGCGTTCTTGGGCCGGCTCCCTTAGCATCGCCCAGCCCTGCCCTGTCCCACCTTCAGGGCCAGGCAGCCCCAGGTGCACAGGGACTGCTTTTTAGCCGGCTTCATTCCCAGTCCTGCCTTGGGCCCTGCCGGCTTCTTGCTTGGGCTCCTCGCCTGCCCCAGACCTCCAAATCACGTGGAGCCCTGCGAGCAGCTGGGCCCGAAGGAGCTGTCCCCAGGGGGCTGCAGAGAGGCCTGGGTGCTGCCGCCCGTCTGCAGGCGCACTGTCGAACGTGGCTCATGGGGGTGGGCATTCTCTTCTTGGATGTTGCCCACTGAGGCCCCACGGCCAGGGTGGTGGGCTGCTGCCAACTTGGGCGGCGAGCAGCATGGTGGCTGAGAGCTCCAGGCAGCTTTCTGTTCTCTCGGACGCCTGTCTGGGTGTCATTTGAGCCGGACGCCTCCTGCAGCCGCCATGGGCTATAATTAATTCAGGCTCGTGGCCCGGCTTGGTTTCAGCCCTCCTTCAAAGTGGTCAGGGGACGGGGCTGGGAGGGGGCCAGGTGCTCAGGGCTGCAGGAGCTGCCAGGCTGCTGGAGGTAGGGAGCTTGCAGAGGGAACTCCAGCAGGTGAGCGCCAGGGGTTCCTCCAGCGGGCAGAGACCCCCTTGGCCCTTTCTCTCCAGCTGGGCCGGTGTGGCTGCAGCTCATGGGGCTTTGCTTTCTCCGTCAAGGGGATTCTCTGGGCCTTCAGGCAGGGGAAGCAGCAGCCCCCCAGCCTCCGTCCCCCCAAGGCTCTGGTGCACCTCTGCCCAGGGGGCGTCTCTCAGCCCTGGGGGGGCTGCTAGGGAAAAAGGAAATATCTCTGTTGGAGGCAGGGGGAGGGTGAGAGGCCAGCCGGCCAGTGGCCTCCTGGGCAGGATCGCTTCCTCCTTGTTTGTACTCAGGCCTTTCGCAGGGCCTTGTGGCAGAGGACGGAGGACCTGCTTGGGCTCCCCATGCAGGGAAGGAAGGCTCCCTGGCAGGGCGCTGCAAGGGCTGCAGAGGGTGTTCTAGTATTGCCGTCCATCAACTTCAGTGGTGCTCCTTCACGAGGGAGGGAGACTGGTTGTCCCAGACAGCACGGCTGGTTTGATGAATTAGCCCCTTTGAGGAGTCATTCGACACCTTGAACCATAAGCTACCCAAATAGGCTGAATTTGCACAACATACTTCTTGGTCAGATAAAAAACTAGCACCTACAATCGCATAATGCTAAGCCAGTAAAAAAAAAAAAAGTTAAAGGTAGCCAAGCTTAGTATGTTGTGTGAATATAGCTGAGAGGTTTTTAACCTGAGTTGCACGAATGAAACCGTGGTCCCAGGACAGAAAGAACTGCCTGCATCAGCACAAGCTGTTTCTGTGGCACCTTTGCTCTCCTAGGTGTGTTGGGGACAGCTCAGTTTGGTGCTGAAATGCCCGTTGAAATCCTTTGCTGGGGGTTTAGAAATATATTTGAAGTTGTTAAAATGATTTTAATTTTTTTAATGAAGCCCCACAGTTTGGAGCGTGCTCACCTAAGTGTTCCACTCTAGCTGTTGCCCCCCAGGTACACCTTGCTCTGCAGGAACTATGGCAATTCTCTCAGCTGCGTTCACACAACACACTTAAGGGGGTACTGGATTACCCCATTTTCCTGAGTTCACGCAATACCTTGGGGCAGAACACAGAACCCAAGGTCCTAGAACCCTCTAGCCAAGGTTAGCAGAATGCCTCTGGCAGCCAAGATCTTCAGGTAGAAAACTGGCCCGAGGAGAAGCAAGGCTCCCACCACCCCGAAAGGAGCATTTGAAAGGTGGCAAAGGAACCATTCACCCTGTAACCGCTGCCGGGAAAGGGGCACGGGCCCCACCCTTCTGGGTATCCAGCCTCACCTGACGGGAGAGGTGTGATGCAAGGGAAAGGAGGACAGTCCGGTTCTGTTGGAAGGGGGACATGGGGGCCCTGAAAGCAGAAAACAAGGCAGTGCCCAGGGTGGAAAGATGGAGAGCAGGAAGTATGGCCTCATGCAGCAAAAGAGTTGGAACCGGCCAAAGGATGAGAGACCGTGACTGCCAACCAGATTAAGAGGAGGTTGACGTGTTTCCGGAGAAGGAGGCTGTGAATAGTCGAGAGCATTTTATGCTGCGTCCAGTAAAGCTGGGTGGGTTTTTGGCACCTGTGAAAAAAATTATCTTTTCATGTTGCCCTTCATTTGCCATTAATCCCACTAATATTTGCCTCTGGGTTTGAATGGATGGATTTAATTCTATTTTTAATCTGGATTTTTTGCTTAAAGGTATTTTTTTGTAAATATTAGTGTCTTCAGGATTTTTAAAGAAAGGAACAGTATATAAATGCTTCTAATAAACAGATGCACGGTGCATCATAACAGAGGGGGCAGGAAAGGTGGAGAAGGGCCCTGGGTCTCAGGCGGCCAGAGGGCATTTCAGGTGTGCAGAACAGAGCGGTGAGTCATGGTGCCGGCTGCCCACGGATCCCGCCCTGAGCGAAAGAGGAGGCAGTTCCCACCTCCTTCCCAACGGCCACAAGCGCACGGGTGTTGGGGAAGAGTGCAGCTTCTCCCTCCAAGCCAGTGATTCACCGGGGCCAGGTGATGGTTTGTGCAACTGGAGCAGCCCAGGGCCCAGGTGCAGTGCAGCCCCGAGAAGGCCAGGATCATCCTGGGCCAAGCAGTAGAAGGGCGTCTCAAAGGCGGTGCGCTTTCCTCTTCAGAGGCCTCTGCGTGGCCCAGTTCCAGGCCAAGGTGGCTGCCTGGCCAGGAGGGCCCAAGTCCTTGCAGTGGGAGGGCCTCGTGCTCCGGCCTGGCCTCAGCCCCTTTCCTGGGAGAAGCAACGCGCCCAGATCCCAGAAGGTTGGCCGTGGCCCTCGTCCTTCCAAACAGGCTGGCAGATGAGCTGGCCCCCCACAGACGCCTCAAAACTCAGTTCATTCAAAGGCCGGCCTCTAGAATGGCAGAGAACTCCACGTTTGTCCCCGTCCGTGCTTTTATTCAGAACTGCAGCTTCTCTTTTAAGGGAACGGGGTGTCCGGTCCGCAAGGAATCCGCATGACACTCCCTCGAGCATCGTGGGGATTCAGACGGAGGATTCAGTCCTGCCTCCCTGTGATGAGACCACCAGCCACAAGTCACCCCCTTCCCCGGTGAGCCCCCTTTAGCGGAACCAGCCCCTGCAGGATGTCCCCGAGCCAAAGGGCTGCACCTCCCTGGGGCAACCTGGCTGGCCAACAGGCGGGGAGGGAGGGGGGTCTGGGCACAGCCCTCTGCCCCAGCTGGGAAAGGCTGGGCAGCTGGCTGGGCAGCTGCTGTCATCGGATCAACCCAGGGGAACAGGAGACCCTTGGCAGGCGCTGCCTTGACAAGTGTGCCCAGCAGAGCTTCCGTGGGAAAGGGCCCACATGTGTGCAGAGTCGCACCCTCCAATCAAGACGAAAGCGAGCTGTTCCCGCAGCCCGGCCTGCCCCAGAGGAGGCGGCAGGACAGGACCGGAGTAGCTGGCCGAGCAGGAAAGGCGCTGAAAAAGCCACAGGGCCAGCCCATATTGGCGCCCAGAGGAGCTGCTGCTGCTGCCGCTGCTGCCGCCTGGCACGAAGCACCTCAAAGGGAAGGCAAAGAAGCAGGGAGGCAGCAGCCCGCCCTCCCCCTCCCCCCCCCCCCCAACGCTCCTGGCAATGGCAAAACCACCCAATCCAAAGTGGGTTTGAACGCGATGCGGAAAGCAACCCAAAGCCGCCCTGGGGTCTGAACGTGGCAAAAAGGCCCCCTCTGGCAGGACCTCCCAAAGTTGGTCGTCTTGACTCCCCCTCCCCCACTTTGGAGGCCTGTGGATGCAGCCGCTGAGGAACACGGCGAGCTTGGCGGGCCTGGCAGCTGCCGCTCTTTAAAGGCCGCCCTCCTTGCCCGGCACAGAAACGGGATGGGAGCAAGTGCCCTGGAGCGATCAGAGGCCTTATGGGGGCCGAAGGGCCAGTCCCAGGAGAGTCTGGGCAGTTTCCAAGCGGCAGAACCCTGTGAAAGTCCAACATGGAGGCTGACGAAGCTCGGTGGGTCAGCTTGGAAAATGAGACTGGGGCGTGGGCGATCTATCGGGCTGGCAAGCCCAAAAGAGCAGAGCCACGTGGGGGTTGAATGGCCCTGATGGTCACAGCCAAGCCGTTGGCGCATTCCTGAAAGCGCCTCCCGTGGGAAGCTCCTTGGAGAGCCCTCCTTGGCCCCCAACCGGGCCATTGCCTTCTCACCCAGCCAAGGAAGGGCCTGATTAACCCAAAGGCCTCACAGGAGACTCCCCCTCCCGTGTGGCCAGCCAATGGGAAATCCCTTAGCAGAGCCCCGGGGCAGTGGTCCTGCCCGCAAATGGCTGCCCTCGGAGGAAAGGTGCCCCTGAGCCCGTCCAAATGGAAGTGTCGCCCACTGGGACTTAGGGCATCACAAGCCTTGTTCTCTACCAAAGCTTTGGTCTTCGATCCACGGCTGGCCCAGCTCTGCCAACTCCTGAGTGGATCTCGATGGATGGGGGGCTGGGGGTGGGGGCTGCACTTGCCAATTGGGACTTTCTTCCCAGTTCTACAGCTGTGGGGCTTTCCAATGGAATCCTAACTTGGTGTTTTCTGAAATTCTTGTGTGGCCAGCTAATGTAGAACGTGCAGGACGGATACCGAAGCAGGAGGACATTAAAGGCAGTGCCAGGACTGAGACAAACATCCTTCTGCTTGTTCAAACTGTCCCCGTTATTTACTCACAGCACCAGGGGTCCTTTCCTAATTGCCACAGTGAGCCCCAACGGCAAGGTCAGTCTTGGGAATTCGACTCGCCAAGGGGCTGCTTTCGCTGGGCAGGCTTTATAGCCCTGCTGCCGCTCTCGCCCCCTCCGCCCTCAGAGCTGCTTGCTCAGTTGAGGCATCCGCGAGGGGAGGCTGGAGGCTGATCAGGATTAAGTGTCTTAGCAGCTCTCGGGCACCCGGCTGAGGCAAAAGAGGGAAATAATCACCTAATTGGAGTCAGAGCATAAAGTTTGCTCTCGTGCAGCTCCAAGACAGGAAGAGCTAGCTTGTCCAGGCAGCCTCTCTCCTGGCTGTTAATTAAAAAATGCAGGTCAGTCACCAGGCACTCGGCCTCTCTGGATCACCTGCCCTGCTTCCGCTGAGGGCCTGAAGAGGCGGGCGGGTCGGCCTGCAAGAGTGGTGGATTGCGCCCTTCTC